GATGCATAGTAAAGGTCAAATCCTTTTATCCATTTTTCTAAGATCTGAGTGTTCCCAATCAATTTCTCTCTTACAGGGGAAGGATATTTTCTGTCAAAACTCCTTGGTTCCCATACCCCACAACATGAGGGAAGGGGGTTGCATATACCTTATTATCAGTACTTTCTTAAAGACAAAGCAGCAGGTGTTTTAACAACCATTACCTACCTTTGAGTAATAGCACACTTACAACATTCACAGTTAGCAATGAATATAAGAATCTACCTACTTTGTACATTATGTTTCCTTCTTCCATCAACTTCTGCAGTAGAATAATCAGAATATCAGGTTTAGAAGTGGCCATTGCCCACGCTGCATTTCCTGTAAGTTAAAATATTAAATATTTTTCAAAGGACATTTCTGATATTACTAGAAAAAACTAAGGGCTTGTTTCCAACATAGTTTCACATTCAAAAACGTCAGTGGATATTCCACAAGTGATGAATGGTTGTAGAAATGTTTATACATACAGCAGCCTGGTATTAATGGTTCAAGTGTGTTTGCCCTGCTTTAGGTCCCACTTCAGGAGAGCACCGAAGCATGTGTTTAAGTGCATTCCTAAATAAGGATGCTTTCCTGAACTGTGGCTTAAAGGTGCCCCAGACTCAGTAGCAATCACATACACAAACACACAGTAGTAATAGCCACATAATTAATTGTTGAACCACGGGATAAACTAGAGCCATTAATTAATTGCATTCCTCATTCAACTGACAACCTCACCTGCACTCTGCCCTCTAATCCGTTGCCCCCAGGACTGTTAATATTCCAAATCTTTGAGCATTTTCAAACAGCTGCAATGTAACACAAAACCCAAACGTGGAATTTCTCCTCAGAAAAGATAAACATCTCATGGGTCAAGGATTGAATATTATCAGTCCTGGATTTCATGCCTGAATCCATGGATTAAGTCCATGAGAGCTAAAAACAGGGCCTTTATGTCACTAGAAGCCCAGTATTCTCACCTCTCCCTATAACAGTGATATAAAGTTTTTGATTCTAGCCTATCCTAGTAGATAGTGAGATATGAGACCTTAAAATCAGAACAGTAGTGTGTACAGAAAAGCTATTTTAGATTATTATTTTAGAAACCTCTAAAAATTATTTTTATCCTCTGAATCCTAACTACAGAGGCCTGCTAACTAAGACACCTGGTTTCACAGATGGAAGATTAAAAATAAGATCAATACAATTTTAAATAACCTCTGAAACAGTTCTAAAATGGTTTTTCAGAACAACATCCTATGGCATGGTATAAACAGCTTTATCGGTACCCTTTTGGGATGACTTCATAATTCATGTCTAGCCACTAGCATGTAATGGTCCTATTCCAAATAAATATGGATAAAATCTTTACCATACCATCATGTATTCTCTATGTATTAAAGGGAAAAGCACCTTCTTGAGCATTAGTACCAGTTTGCTTTCTTGAGGCTCCACAGCCTCCTGGCTATAGCCAAGGTTCGAAGTGTTAAGACGGGAAATACGGAAGTGGGAACAAAAAAAATGATTGTTTGCTTAATACACTACATATATTTCATACAACTGGACCAGCAAGCCTGGTACAGATTCATTGGCTTTAAAACATGTGGATATCACCTGAAAAAAAGTGTCCAAAGTGCTCTGATCACCTAGCTCTTGAGCTATGCGCTGAGTTAATGTCTGGAAAAGATTTTCATATGCTAAATACCTATTATACAATGACACCTCTACCCCGATATAACGCTGTCCTCGGGAGCCAAAAAATCTTACCGTGTTATAGGTGAAACCGCGTTATATCAAACTTGCTTTGATCCGCCGGGGTGCGCAGCCCCCCCACCCCACCCCCCGGAGCACTGCTTTACCGCGTTATATCCAAATTTGTGTTATATCGGGTCGCGTTATATCGGGGTAGAGGTGTATTTAAATTAATGGAAACCCCAAAAGTTATGAAAGTGGAATTTTTTATTAGAACCAAAACATTATGAAGAGAAGCTAGAAGCAACTAGGGCTGGCTGAAGATGATTTCCAAATGAAAAATCCCCTTTTGCAGAATTAGAAATTTTCCCATGCAAAAATTTCTGTTTTCTGTTGGGAAAAAATCAAAATGACAGCCCCCAAGGTGCCTGCCTGGAAGGCTCAATTTCACTTTCTGCCTGCAGGGAGAGAGTAAAATTGACAAACTTCCAGGAGGGCAGTTAGCAAGCCAAAACAAAATCTGTTTTGGTTCGCCCAAAACAGAATTTGTGAGAATTTTTGTCTAGTGAAAAATTTAAATATTTACCTTCCACCCGCCCACCCAAAACTCTGAAATTTTCCCTGGGGCAGAAAATTCCTTTTTTAGGCAGGCTCTAGTAACAACCTCTATATTTAGGTTGCCTAATAGCTTCTATTACAAACTATTCTTGAGACATTTTCTTTGAGAAGCTCTCACCTCCCTTGTTTGCAGCATTACTTTGGTAGCAGGAATGCCCTGAGACTACATAGATATTCAGCTTTTTCTTTTTCCCATAAAATTCCATTCAGCTTTTGCTGAGATATAAACTGTTAAAAAATTCACCATTTCCTTCTCTTGTTTGCATTCCTGAGGAAAATGCAGCACACCAAAATAACAACTGAATATAAAAATTCTAAGTCCAGATTAGCAATACTGCTGTCAAATCAGCATCACGAGTAGCACAGACTGCACTGGGAATTCCCAGGAGCTGTCAGAGCACATGTAGTTAGTGGGACTTAGTTCGTAGCCCATGCCCCTGTGGCAACATCACGTGGCAGAAGAAGAGAGCAAACCAGTCCTGGCCTCCTCCCCACCATGAACTGCCCCCAGACCCCGCACCTAGCCCCAGTGGCTCATTCTCCCTCACAGCTCGTCTCAAGGGGCACCACATGGGGACACAGCTCCCTCCAATTCCAGGGAAAGAGATAAAGGAGGCAAGGCGGAGAGCATGTGCGCGCTAAAATATTTAGATCCTGAAGTTCAAGAGGCAGCAATCTGGCTTGCAGTGTTGAGGGTTCAGGGTTTGCCCCCTGATGATAATGGGTCAGTTGTTACAGTTGGATGCCATAGAATTTTTGTTTACCTTTTTCCTTTTAAAGAATTCTAGAAAGTTCCATACAAAAATCTACATTAAATGAACATTCCTAAGGTTGCAAAGTCATGCACTAAAAAATTTGGAAATACCAGAATTAGGGTTGCCTGCATAACAGTAATTCAGCACCTGGCCTTGTGCATAAGCATTTTGATTCAGTCTTTTAAATTAAATTCTCATTATGTTCAGCATTCAATTCACAAGGAGACACAATTACGGTTGCATGGGTAACTATAAAACTGGCATTTTCTAACTTTGGAGTGCTTGACTTTGCAACCTAAATAGAGTTCTTTGAAAGTCGTTTTTTGTACGTAATATGTTTTATAGCCTTCCATTCAAAAGGAATGTGATAGACTTTCTAAAACTCTGTTTTAGAAAAATGAGAATTATTGCACTATAGCAGACATTTAATTCTTTCCCTTCTAAACAAAAGCAACACAAACAAAAATTGTGCTTTGATGATATAGGATGGGCTTACTAACCTAATTTGGCGCCTTTTCTAAGTAGTGTGACCACTACCGACGTATTTCGACATCCAATTGCTCTGTCTAATGGACGCATTCCACTGTAGTCTACGTGTTCAATCACTGCACCCTTCTCTACTAAATACTGCACCTGGGAAAAAGGAAGGAGACTGGATAAAACCTTTAAAAACTTTCAGCATGGGAGGCAGAATAGTGAAGCCACTTCTTAATCCTACTTGGAGTCCCCATTAAATAAAGTTAGTCTCTAAAGTAAGTTACATCCTCTTTTGTCTTTTGACACCGGAAGGGAAGGGAAGGAGAAGGCAACAGCCACATTCCTAACTTTACTGCATTAATTTCAGTGATAAATAATAATCTTTTTCTGTCTTCATGTCAGTAGAAAATATATACAAGACACCATAAGGCCAACACTACATGTTCACGCTCCCATTTGTTCACATCATGAGCTTCAACATACTGGTATGGCTGCTAGTGTCCAAGATTATAAAACTGGGATGAAAATATAGAGGAGCCCTGTACAGACCATATGGGCTTCAGGATAATTAACAAAGGTTTTGATAGCATGTCACAGTATGTTGTGACATTAAAATGACAAGTGAGAAACTATAGTACCAAATTTGTTCTGATGTGTTTGGGGAAGATGGCATACAAATACAATAAAGAAGAACGTACAGGTTATTTTTAGTAACATTCACTTAAACATGGATTATTTAAAATGCCCAAGTTTAATTATATGCTTCAATTTTTTGTGATAATAGACATTGGCTTTTTGAACTAACTGAAGAAAACTAAAGCAGTAATGTTTATTAATTTCTATACCACTTATCACTGGAGCAGTTTGATGTTGCAGTTAAGAAATTTAGGGTATGTCTACACTGGATTCTAAAGCACACATAAAGCAAGTCTCAGAGTCTACAAACTCAGGCTTAAAATAAGCAGCTATATTTACGTAGCAGCTGGAGCTGGAGCTTGGGCTCTGAAGTCCCAGGAGGCAAGAGGGTTTCAGAACTCAAGCTCCAGCTTGAACCCAAACATCTACACTGTTGTTTTTGGTTCCGTAGTGCTCGATCTGAGCTCTGAGACTTGGGACCACAAGTTTTAAAATGCAGTATAGACATAAACTAAAACACAAAGTGGTAAAAACAGAAATGTAAAGAGTAAAATAAATGTCAAATGCTGAACAAAATAAATGCATCAGAAACTTGTGATACCCAAGAGTAGCTGGAATTGGCCCATCATTAACTTCTCAATAACCATTCTTAAAAGTGGGAAGTACAAGAAATGACAGCAATAGCAAGGTGCTTAATGGCCAGCAATAGTTCCTTGAATAAGGAGTCTAACAATTGCTTTCTATGGCTGATAGTGATTTAACCTGAAGTTAGGCATTAAGTATCCTTGTCATTCACAGCCCCCAGGTCCTGGCGCTGCTGGTTTGCTGGATGAGCTGTTCCACTACTTCCAACAGTCTACGCTGTTGGCTGCCACCCTGGCCCAGCGATCAAGCTGCCCGGACATACAAGATGAAAGAAGATGGTAACTCCTGGTGCAGCTGTCTGCTAGATTGACTGGCAGTCTGAGCTGCTCCAGCTGGTGACCAATCTCATCAGAGATAACAGTAAGGACCTTTGGTAGCACAGGAGATGTTAAGTCACACACAAGATGTAATGTCACCATCCAGGCTGGGGAGTCTAAAGACTGGTTCTCTCTTCCTCTAGTTGCTGATGGATGGGGATTCTGGATCTGAGGTGAGGTGCGTGTAGAGGCCAGCAATGGAAACTCTGGGCAATGTCCTCCTCCTGGCCGAGTGCTGCTACTACTGCTTTCCTACTACTGGAAATTCCTAGGATTCTGAAGTCATTTAAACAGGAAAACTGTTCCAAGTAAATTATGTGTTTCTGAGCTTCATCACTCTGTTTTCAGCACATATGGACTAAGTGTTTTTCATGAATATAGACAGTACACCCAACACCCCACCCTCCAAAAATATATAGTTAGTAAAAAAGTAGCAATATTGGGACTTTAACATGCAAGAGACACACCAGTTAGAGGAAAAAACAGATTTATTTTTAAACAATCTAACAGCTATGTTCCTACACAACATGTGCTGGTTGGAAATATTTACTTCATATTTAATTTTTGTTAATGTCATTTCATAAGCCACTATTCACTCAGAAGTATATGTGCAAATACTGAAATACCAATGTTTTGATTACACAGTGTCTAATACAGTATGTCAATACAGTACTCCCAAAAAGGCTCCCTACTTAACAGAGGGGATACAGCCCCAAATCCTGTTAGGAGGCCTAAGGATTCCTTCTGCCTGTCAGAAATACACTCATGAGGAGGCTGAGCATAGTGCCTTCCAAAATCCATTAACAACCACTCCTTCAAAATCAACTACGGGTTTATGTAAATTAATTCAGATTAAGGTGGAGTGTGAATTTAAAGTACAATAGCTATTTCTGAGTAACTCCACATGTTTTTGACTCTTCCTAAATAGCTATTCTGAAGCAACTGCATGGGTAGACATGCTCTAACCTGAGTAAAGGCTACCTCCATATGAGTAAGAGATTGAAAGCTCAGGCTCTAGATTCCCCATTTAATTGCTGGATTTGATATAGTGCATGTCCTTCCCAGTAGTGTTCTGACATTATCTTCAAACCTGAAGTGAATCATCTCCTTGCAGGTAAGAAGTTCATTACCTATCCTACCAGTTAACTCCTAGAAGCTTAACTTCTGCCAGTTTGGCTTAATTATGTTTTATTGCTGAGAGCCTCACCTCATGCTTGCAAATTTGAAAAGTTTAAATCATTGATTCTGAAGTTACCATATATTGGCTGTAACACTTATAGACATATCTTATTTCAGTTTCAAATTAATCACTGCCCTACCTGTAACACTTATAATATAAACTAAGGAAGCAGTGGAGTGCAGTGGATAGGGTATAAGTTCTGAAGTGTCTGATTTGCCTCATCCATGCTGCAAATTTACCTCAACGCCTTAGTTTTCTGCACTTATAAAGACTGGATAATAATGTTTAGCCACCTTTATAGAATGGCTAATAGATATCCAGCAGCTTGTGCTATGAATGGAATCTGAAGAGTGTCAGCTACTCTCTTTATAAGGTCATGAAACTGATGGAAATTGTCAGCCATGGAAGGTGGTGGGGGCAATAACCACCTTGTCTAGAGACAAGGATGAAATAGGTGTTTGAGAAGTGGCCTCCTGCTCCTCAGATGTCTCTTCCTGTTGGGGAGAGGGGTTTGTTGGGGAGGAGAGGACTGTACAGATCTCGCTTCCCTATGAGACAGCACTTGTTGTGAATTGCTGCCAATAAGCAACCCAGGGTCTCAATATAGTCATGGGGAGTGGGGACATACAGAAGTGCAGGTGGCATGCCGGGTTGGTTCACCATCCTTGTTGCCAAGCATGATGATCTTCCTTATGATGGTCAAAGAATGGGTTCCTATAAGGCTATGTCAGAGAACCTTATACAGAAATAAAAGAGACTGACTGGAAGTCTTCTTCATCCTTATCAATATCCTCCAATGGGGGAGCACATAGAAAAGGTCGAGATTCCTTGAGTACCAGAGGACGATGGTGATCTGGAGATCGGGGTGTCAGTACCAAGAGATACTCAGTACCCATGAGGAGCAGGGACTTCATTTTGTCAGTTACAGACAGGGCCTTAGGGTATCAGAATTCTTGTGGTACCAAGTAAGGGATCGGTATTGAAGCAGTAGCCAAAGCAGACTGTATTGCTGATTGGGGCTGTACCAGTGCAGGTGCTGGTGTGTGTGGCACCCTTGCTTGCTCAGTACCAAGGATGCTGAATGGATAGGTACGGACAGCGGGGCTATGCCAGATGGTGCCAGACTGGAGTGCTTATGATTAAGGCTGCATTTTAGTCATGGGTATTTTAGTAAAAGTCATGAACAAGTCACGGGCAATAAACAAAAATTCACAGCGTGTGACCTGTCCATGACTTGTACTATATACCCCTAACTAAAACTTGGGCCAGGAGTGCTCTGGGGGGCCAGTCCAGGGGCACAATAGGTGCTGGGGAGGCGGTTGCCTGGGATCCCTCACTGGTGCTGGGCGGAGGGGAGGGTTGGCAGGGCTGCCAGGCTGCCTGCCCAGCTCTGCGCAGCTCCCCAGAGCGGCAGCATGTCCCTGCAGCTCCTGGGGGAGGGAAGGCCAGGGGGGCTCTGCGCGCTGTGCCCGCCATGAGTGCCAGCTCTGCAGCTCCCATTGGCCTGGAACCGCAGGGGGCTGTGTCTGCAAGCAGGGGCAGCACACAGAGCCTCCTGACCCCTCTGCTTAGGAACTGCAGGGACACCCCCAAGATAAGCACCGCCCCACACTCCAAACCCCTGCCTCGGCCCTGATCCCCCTCCCACATCCAAACTGCTGCTGCTGCTGGCCCCCGGGGCAGCCCCGGAGTCAGCCGCACCGGCCATTGAAAAAGTCACAGAGGTCACGGAATCTGTGACAGACATGCAGCATGATTGCTTGCCTTGTCCCTTGAAGATGGTACAGAGGCCTTGTCAGAACCATGTCTCTCCTTCGAGCTGTGGGACTTTCCAGCCCTGCCAGTCCCAGAGGAGGAGTCCTTTGCCTCTGCTGTACTGAGCCAAGAGGTAGAGGTTTCAAGACCATACATCTCACAGGGGACCTGGGTCTTTTAGGAGCTGGCTCCTTAAGATGACAGTCCTCTTTCTGGAACCTTCCCTTCTCCAAAAGCCTCCCTTCCTTAGGGGAAGCCTGCAACCAAGGTCTAAAGAGCACTGGATCTAAGACAGGGGTACAGGTGGGGGTGGGTTTTCTGACCTGATTCAGGGATCGTCTACTCTGAAAACGTACATTGACATAGCTACATCTCTCAGGGGTGTAAAAAAACATACCCTGACAGAAATAGCTATGCTGACCTAACCCCCAGTATAGACAGTGCCAGGTCAGCAGAAGAACTCTTCCGTCAACCTACGTACTGCTTCTCGATGAGGTGGATTAAATACAACAACAGGTGAGCCCCTCCATCACTGTAGTGAGTGTCTATACTGAAGTGCTACAGTGGCACAGCTGCAGCTATGCCACTGTAGCGTTTTAAGTGTAGATGTACCCTCAGAAGTTGGCCAAAGGGAGCATTCCACCATTAGCAGTCTCAGCTTAATCTCCCTGTTCTTCCTTGCCCTGGATTTGAGGGCCAAACAAAACTGCACTTCTGTTCCCCAGGCAACGGACACAGAGTGGCCGTCGCTAACAGATACAGTCTCTCGTCAGGAGAGGGAGCCCTCTCAGGAGAATAAGGCTCCCTCAGGGAGAGAGAGAATAACAAAACAATCCTCTTGCTACTTATCTCTAACTATAACTAATACTAAACAAACTTCAGTATAAACTGTATACAAGATAGCTGACACATTCTCAAGGTGGACATGCTAAGACTCCATCTCAGGCTGAGACAGTTGAGAAGGAACTGAGAACGGTTCACCCATGCAGCCTTATGTTGCCTTGATGTGTGGCACGAGGGGGGATATAACAGAAAATCTCTGACCAAGGGCTCATGATGTGCATGTGCACCTGAAGCAGAGCATCTATAGAGACACTACTTGAACACTGAACTTCTAGTACAATTATCTAGGTACTAAAAATCTGTTGGAAAATGCTTTTTCTGCATAAACACCTGCACTGGTATCCAGGTCTAAGTGATCTAAGTAAAGAAGGAAGTTAAGCCACTTAACTCTCTGCCTACACTTCCTTCATTAACATTTTCATTGACAGATTCCAGTTCAGACTGTGAAAGTTTAAAGTGGGCTTAGAGGATTTTCTACAAATTAACCTTACTTACAATATCAGAATCTCCATAAAAAGCTGCCAGATCCAAGGGTGTTCGTCCATTCTTGTCCATCTGATCTATTGTTGCACCTTTTTCAACCAAATATTGAACCACTCCCCTATGGCCCTTTAGGCAGGCCCAGCTCAGTGCCGTCAGCCCCTCTTTATCCAGGGATGAAATGGCTGCACCTGAAATAAAAAGCAAATGGGTTTTTTTAAAAATTAAAGTTCCATGTTTAACTTTATAATTAAAACCAAAATTTGATGTGAACTTCAAAATATGAGTAATAAAAAAACCCTTTCACTTCCTCTAATCTCCATCAAAAGCTACAATAAAATAAACCTTATTGTATAGTCCGGCATACCGTTTGCAAATAAGATATGATTGAAAACTATGAAAAGTACTTGCTGCTGAAAAATTATCTAGCTTGTGTACCTGTAATAAAATATACAGAAAAATCCCTTGTGCAACTGTACAATTATTGATTTTACCTTTGGAAAGTAGAAATTCCACAGTGCTCAAGTGTCCTTCACAAGAAGCCACCATAAGTGGTGTCCTGCCTTGCTTGTCACTTAAATTCACATCAGATCCGTGATCTAACAGAATTTTAGCAATCTGAAAATAAAATTTAAACTTAGATAAGCAGTTTAATTTTTAGAAATGCACTAATGGCCTTTTAGGAATGGGATGTATAATGTGTTACTTATATTCAGTCTGATAATTCATGATGAATTTAAAACTTCAACAGTTTGCAGTTCTAAGTCTAGGATTTTCTACTCTGCTAGGGCCACTTTGTGCCATGTTGCAACACACCACCAAGGGTAGCAAGTCAGGGGAGAATCCCCCAATAAGAGGTTGATCTTCCATTAGTACAGCGCCAGCGTAATAGCTCCTATGCTGCCTCTGCTCCCAGTTTAGGAAGCAAAATTTTCTAGTTCAGAAAGACGCGGTAATTTCAAGTGCTTTGTCCCATCTTAAATAACTCAAGTGGTGAGGTTTTCCTTGGGAACTAAGTATGTTTGAACACTTGTGCCATTTATTACATGCATAAAGATGGAGGAACAATTTTAAAATTCAGGAAACATCTCCCATAATCATTCATTTTATTCATGAGCATTTGTCACACCTGCCAATGTCCCTGCCGCACTGCA